TGCGCGTAATACCCATAGTATTACCAACCATTGGAATAACTATTCTGGCATAAGAAAGGCTTTATAAGACGCATTCGTTAAATTAATGCCGAGAATAAATTATTCTGGGAATAACTACTCCACTGATTATACCAACACTTGTAAGATCGGCCCTAAGTTGAATGCCTGAAAATACATTTCGATCATCTAGCTCGCTATGCTTTGATTTGTCAATTGATGAATTAATCGAAATTGAAGGAACAACAATTGAAAGGAAAGTCATCATTAAAATAATATCTACTTCTGAAACCCATCAAAAGAGGTATAAAAATCTAGGAACTGCGTAATTCCAAGATAAGGTACGTCTTAACTTTGATATTTATTCTGGAAGGGAATCTGCAGTAGACAAAGAACGTGTTGTTAAGAAATTACTGAAAAATATACCACGAAATGAAGCAATATTCTTATGCTTTGATCGATTTTTCACTTCCTTGAAGTTATTGTCCGAACTACCTTTGCTGCCACTGGTAAATGTACCTAAGATAACAATAAAACTGGAAAGAATAAAACATAAAATTATTGCGACTGCGAGTGGTATTACTGCTAGTTTTTAACAAGATACAAAAGGTTTAGTTTTCAGTAACTGCCATGCAGACGGAGTGAGTGGAGTCAACAAAAAATTGAAAAATGGCGATAAAGTGCTTTTTGAGTCCCTGCTATCTATTTCTAACTAAAACATACATGGAATAGTGGATTAATGAGATTGTCTCACATGCTTATATGATTTCTATAGGAAATTAATGAAATGGTGGCGAAAACTACTACTATATCATTCGTCGCCAAACCAGCAGAAGTACTTGTAGGAAAGGCAGAAAAACGCAAAAGTTGTCAGATGAAAAACATCAGGATGTTCTTCAACTACTTCAAGAAATCTATACAATGTTGGAGATCATCTTTTTACTCAAGGGCCGACTCGAAGGAGATGTTTCAGATGCGCCCAACGAAAAGTTGAAGTGAGAACAAAGACCATGTGTATTCAGTGAAACATATCTTATTGTAACAACTGTTTTACACCATATCACACCTAACGATGTAATGGGATAAATAAAGTTTTATATTATTATTTATATGTTTGCTTTCTCAAAAATCAAGCTTTTTCAAAAATATTTGAAATTTATATTACATTTCTTGAGTAATTCATGATTTTGCACATTGTAGATAAATTATCTTAATTTGAATATTTAAAAAAATCAATTAGGTGAATTTAATAAAAAAAAAAATCAAAAAAAAAACCCTAAACTCAGTAAAACAAAGACAAAGTTTGTTTTGTTGATCATACTTTATACAGTTGAGACGGGATGAAATGTACAGTTATGGACATGATCTAACAAAATGTCTAGTAAAAGCGCACTACAAGACTATCCTCACTATCGTCTTCCATTTGTTTCACACTCCTGAACTGGAGGACATGTGGCAGTCGATCGATAAGGAGACGAAACACATGTGGTTGCAAGGCTTGTTGAAGTACCTGAAGCAAGTCGTTGGGGTATCTATAAACTGCTACAGCATTACACAAATGATCAACTCCTTTTTTCCAATCTCCAGCAGTTAGAAGCTCTTCGCCTAACTGTAATTCTTGAAGGAAGAATCTTTGTATGGCTTCGTGATCTCTCATATTTGGGAAATCTAAGAGTGTGTCAGGAGCGCTTGCAACTTCCTTTTGAGCTCTACGTCCTTTAAAAAATAGTTTTCTCATTTTATACCAGGGATACAGTGTTGTTGTGTAACTTAAAAAAATTACATAGTGTAATTGCAATTTTATTATACAATATTTGTCTAAAGGATTGCAAGAATCATATTGCACAAACACAATGTAATTAATGTGATACAACATTAAATTATAATTATGAAAAATAAATATAGACGTCTAATAATGACCATATAAAGTAAATAATTTATTGGTATTTTTTGGTAGGTTTTTTATAGAATAAACTCTAAAGTTTTGAAAAGTAATTTATTAACAGCACTCGAACTCCCTTCAAAGGTTATAATGGGCACTTGTAACATTACAATCAGGCCATAAATGTACTTTGCGTTCACATGATAATCAGGTATTATGCGTATTCTTAATATTATAATATAAAGAAGGCAGAAAGTATGAAAGAATTATGATTAACGATTTTAATAAAAGTTAAAAAAAAGTTAGACAAATTGTTATACAAAAGTTATAACTACACAATGTTTTTCCAACATATTTTGCGAACCCATTAAAAAAATGGCGACTGTTTTAACAACCATAACAGTACTAGAATGGTTTAATTGGCAAATAAAGATCAAAAATAAACCATCGTCCGAAACTCAGTAAAAACAAAGACAAGGTTTCTTTTGTTTGATCATACTTTATACATTTGAAACGGGATGAAATGTACAGTTATGGAAACGACCTAACAAAGTGACTAGTAAAGGCGCACAATGAGACTATTCGACATCGTCCTCTTGCATCTGCTTATCTGGCCCACCCCCACGCGGGCCAACATTTGGCAGTCGTTGGACAAGGAGATGGAACACTTGTGGTTGCAATGTTTGTTGGAGCACCTGGAGCAAATCGTTGGGCTGTCCGCAAACTGCTACAGCATTACCCAAATGATCAACTCCATTTTCCAAATCTCCAGCTGCCAAGAGCTCTTCACCTAATTGTACTTCTTGGAGGAAGAATCTTTGTACGGCTTCGTGATCTTTCATATTTGGAAAATCTGTCTTTGTCCTACGTCCACCTGCTGAAGCTTCCTTTTGAGCTCTACGTCCTTTAAAGAATAGTTTTCTCATTTACAATTTTATACCGATACAGTGTAATCAGCATTGCCAACCCTACCGATTTATCTGTAGATCTACCTATTGATTTTCATGAGTTTTTTGTTTTACTATTAAAAAAATTAAAAAATTTAGGGATCACTAAAGAGTCATAAAAAAAACCCTACATTTTTAAATAGCAACCTGTCGAGTTTTACCTTATTTTAAAGGTAATGAAAAAAGAAACACAACCCCATAAACCAAAACCCAATATTAATTCTTTCAAGAATTATGAGGGAAAATAAAATGTTTTCATGTTTTTTCGCACGTTTATTACGATTTTTATAACAAATGTTTAAATTGTCGATCTTCTTCGGTCTCGCAATGACCCAAACGGTCAGAAATGGAATTTTGAACCATCAGGAGCATATCCTAGTGATAGGGTGGTTTCCAAATCGATCTTGCGATTTTCCAAATCATTTATTGATTCTGATTTTGTTGCATACACCCTACTTTTCAGAAACCCCCAAAAGAAAAAATCGAGTGGTGTTAGATCAGGAGGTCGTGATGGCCACTCAATTTCACCTCTTCTATCAATCCAACGGTTTGGAAACGTGCGGCTTAAAAAGTCTCGGACTGCGCGACTAAAATGTGGAGGAGCACCATCTTGTTGGAATTACTTATTGTCAATACCATTAAGGCATATGGCATGTACACTGGGAACTACTGTATTTTCTAACAGTTGCAGATATTGGTCTCCGTCCAAATTTCCATTAATAAAAAATGGACCAATTACATGTCTCTCCCATAATACCAGCCCATGCATTAATTTTCTGCGGTCTCTGAGTATGATCTTCTCTTATTAAACGTGGATTTTCGTCACTCCAATAGTGCCTATTAACCTTACCATTCAAGTAGAAAGTAGCCTCATCAGAGAAAATAACATTCAAAAGAAAATTTCTGTCAACATCACATTTTTCAAGTACTATTTCACAGAATTCCAACCTTCTTTCGAAGTCACCTTCGTTCAATTCATGAACTAGGTGAAACTTGTAGGGGAAATAGTTATTTCTTTTAAAAATTCTGTGAACAGAACTTTTACCAATTTCATGTACCTGAGACGCTTTTGATAAGGAACTTGAAGGTTCTTCAATAAAAGACACTTCGAAGTAACGAAATAATCCTTCTTCGATTTTTTCTGGAGTTGTTGCAGATTTCGGTCTACCAGTTCTCAGAAGATCGTTCACAGTTCCGTCATTTTTGGAATTAATAAAAGCAAATTTTAGAAAACAAGTTTAAAATAACATCTCTCCCTTATAAAATTTAAGTCTAAAATTTGCTTTTATTAACTCCAAAAAATGGCGCAAAAACTGACCGAAAAAGAAAGAATCGCTCTTTTAATGATTCGTGGCTTTGGGGATAAAACAAGATCTTACGATGAAGCGCGGCACGTCTTCAATGATTCTTTTCGTCAAAGAACACCGATTTCTAAATCAACAGTCGAAAGAAAACCTCATAATTCTTGACAGGATTAAGATATCGGGTTTTGGTTTATGGAGTTGTGTTTCTTTTTTCATTACCTTTAAAATGAAGGAAAACACGACAGGGGTTGCTATTTAAAAATGTAGGGGTGGTCATCCCCTAAAATAATCCACATTGCATGTAAGTTCTAAACTATCTAAAAATGTAGTTTTTATCACTCTTTAGTGATCCCCAAATTTTCAAATTGTTTTCTTCACTTGTTCAAAACTTATAGCTCCGTCCTGGAAGTTTTGGGAAGCCCTGCAGTACAGTATACTACGTTAAATTGCGATTATATTGTTTTTTACCAATGATGGTTTAACATAATGATGTAACCCGAAACATTCTAGTTCTAGGGTTAGTTCTACTTTTAATTGTTATTCAGCGCTAGATTATTGTTTATTTTTATGGAACTAAAAGTAGAACTAACACTAGATCTACAACTAGAAAGATTTGGGTTTAGCTGTGCGTCTCTTATGACTATAAGACGGATTCTAGTTCTAGAGTTAGTTGTAGTGCTAGTGTTAGCTCAAGTTTTAGTTGTTATTCATTGTTAGATCATTATATACTTTTATTTAACTAAAACTAGAACTAACACTTCTACTAAATCACTAAATCAAGGATGGTAGTTCTAGTTTTAATTGGTATTTAACGCTAGATTATTGTATATTTTTATGGAAGCAAAAGTAGAACTAACACTAGACCTAAAACTGGAAACATTCGAGTTTAGCTGTCTTAAGAGACACATGGCTAAACCAGAATGTTCCTAGTTGTAGTGTTAGTTCTAGAGCTAGTGTTAGTTGTTACTCAGAGTTAGATTATATACTTTTATTGAACTAGACCTAGAAACATTCAGTTTTAGTTGTCTTAAGAGACACACGGCTAAACTCGATCACGATTTCTCTTTTATATTATGAACTTTATGAAGTATCAAAGAAACAACATTACAAAACATGAATACAATAAATAGTAGTTGCCTACCCATATGTGACGTCACGAACGGGCCGTTGAGCTATGCACCTATCCTTTTTAATGTAGCAGCCCTCTTAGATTCTACCATCCTTGTATCAAACAACAATTTCTAACTTTATATTTATACCTACCGATTTTGTACCATTGATTCTACCGATATTTGGCTGGCATAGGTTGGCAACGCTGAGTGTAGTGGAAAATTTATATTCAACTTATTGAAAAGCAACAATTTGATGAAGTTACCTCATATAGGTGCAATTATTTGAAAGATTTGATTACAAAACGTTTTAAAAATTCGATTGCACCTACACAATGTAATATTAATAATTTTCCTATCACACCTGTATCATATTAAGACAAAGATTGGTGTATTTTTGTAGAAAAATGAATAAATATAGGTTAGAATTCTATCTAATGATGGCCATAAGAAATAATTGATTTATTGAGTTTTTTCCTAACTCAAATAATATTTGACACGAGAAACGTTATTAATTTGTACACCTTAAAAAGATAAAATCGTTAAAATAGCTTTAAAATAATATGTTTAAGTAAAAGTTTACAACGTGATTTGCGAGTTGGACGAAAAAGTATGGTTATGTGATAAGGAATGTATACTCACTTTCACGTAATTTCTGTTTGAAATTGGGATCTTGATGCCTCTTGTGGTCAAAATATATGCAATAACCCAATATTAATGTTCCGCAGACGCCTGCGGCGATACCGAGTGCCGCTTTTGGAGATAACATTGTCATCATTTGCGGTTTATTCGAAAATTTTCACAGTCCAACGCCGCCGTCCATTACGTCCACTTATTAATTGGAGGAAAGTTTCGGTAACGGAAGTCGCACGTTTCGCGGCTCGGTCATGAAGTGAGCGGTGGTAGGAAAAAGGTTGTCGTGTGACCAAAGAGAAGTTTCTGTTAATTTTGTTTAACTTTATATCAATATGTCAACTTCCATTCGACACTTTACATTAACAAATGAATTTATTTTTTTTTAAAAAGAATAGAAGGCAGTATTGAATACAAGTTTTTTATATGTATATATTTTGAAACGTGGTTTAAGTTACATACTCTTCAAAGTTCCACAATATTTTTATCAAGTTTTTTAGGAAACTTCTTTCATAACAAATTATTTATATTTCTTTTTTAGGTTTTACCAATTTAAAAAAAAATCAATTAAGAAAGAATTGTGCTTTAATTTTTAAAGTATTTGATTATAAAAGTTCATCATCACAAGATGGCGCCATACTACTTCAAATACTTCACGCATGCGTTCTAATAAGCGTTCTACTAGCAGTCTAGTAGATGAAAATTGGTGTTTGAACCAAAATGGCAGTGTCTGTGATACAAAATATAAATCAATCGAATTTAGAAAAGATAGAAAGGTAATTAATATTGAAAACATTTTATCTAATCACCCTTTACAACCCTCAACAATCAGTTTAACTCCTTCACATTAATACTTTGCAAAATCTAAAAATCAATACTCTTACCAACGCCCTTTTGTCCTCAAAACATTTTCTAATTTTTCTACACGTTGATATTTACAAAGCCGGCTTTCTAGTTATTTTAAGATAATATCAACCACACAAAGTTAATCAAGACTATTTTTACACATTTTAACAAACTTTTCTGCTGATTCTAATAATAAAAGTAATATACAATTTATTAATTATTGTTTTACATTTCTATATTAGATATATATACACAGTGCAAGCTCAATAATCTGGTACCATAAAATTTCTCACACTGAGGGATTACCAAATAGGCCAAATTACTGGATAATGTAAAAGCAAGGTTTACTATAAGAAAATAAATAAAATATATTCAATACTGTATTGATTGTTTATTATTAGGAAGTATAAGTAAAGGAATAGTTACAAAAAAATCATAATATTAGTAACATATTTGTTAAGGACATATGAAGCAATTCACTATTAGATTTTATTAAGTAATTTTCTCTCAATTTTCCCATTATGAGTGAATATCTACTATTGATACTTGTGTCTGGCCATATTGACAGCAATTGGTTATAAAACAAGGTTGGATTTCATAGACTTCATTCAAAGATTTGGTACTGTTCGTTTCATTTATTAGTTCATGCTCAGTCATCATTGGTTCACTGCCTGATTATTTCTCAAACCACACTTCAATATTGCTCTGTGAACTTTTCCTATCAATTGTAGCATCTTCTTCAGCTCTGCAATTGAGAAGAGTGGGCTTTTAAGTCCCATTCAGCTTCTACTTCATTGGTATACAATGATGTCCACATCTACCATGATGATTGTGTTATTCTTTTAGGTAAACTATTCCAAGGTAAAAATGGCATCTTTTATGTTTATGTCTTTTAACATTGTACTGACATTATCTTCTCTCAAAACTGTATTCACCAGGATGTTTTTGTTGTAATTACTCCTTATCACTTCGATAAGGATCACATTCTGATCACTACATAGAAGCAGGTGGTGTATAATTAGGAGATAATAATAGTGATTGTAAGCCGTCTCTGAATGACAAATTGTCTTTACTTTTAAATTGTCAATACTTTTTGATTACCTGTGCTTTGTTTTGATTTTCATATATAAGTGTCTATGTGTACCATTGTCACAAGGCATAATGGTAACTTCGCTTTTGGACACTTTCTTGGATAGTGCTTCTAGCTTTTCTCGGAGAACGTATTTTTCAGCATTTATGCTTATTATTCTCACTTTTATCAGCATTGTAGACTTGATTGGGAGTTGAAATAAGATTATGTACTTTTTAGGATTGGCAGTTTAAAATCAAGGTTTAAACCAATTGGTTTTTTGCACCTAAACTGGTTTTTATCCATTGTTTGTGAGAATATATTTATTATTTGAGAATTATTTTCTTCTCAGAAAAAAACTATTTTGAATATCCTTGGCCAATTTTCAAATGTCACGGAACATGTTCTTGTAATCATTAAGTATTTTAGAAATAACCATTTAGCAAATGCTCTGGGGTGTTTCTGTAAGTCGTGGCATAACTTTAATCATAAATGCTAGAGTCAATATAATGACAATTCTTTTAAAAATTTTCGGTCTAAACCTATAAATGGCTAAGATATGGGCCTTCAAAGTTAAGAAATTTTCAAACATTTTCTTAAATATTTTTAATATGAGCTTTGTTCGTTAGGTCTTCTCTACTTTGTACGACATGGCACTAGTATGATATAGTGTCAACTGAGTGCAGGTTGGAAAAGTGTGTAAAGCGTGGTCGCAACGAACAGGTTTTTATGAAGAAAGTGTATAATATTTGAAATGGACGAACAGGAGATTGTCAGCGAAATAGTCGCGGAAAATGATGAAATCATCGCAGAATGTCTTTAAGTAGCGATTCATCCGACAGTGTTGTAGAATCAATTAATAAATGTTCTTATAGCGTTGTCAAGCACGTGAGGATAACGATAAGAAATTATTGTACTGAGGTAAAAATAAAATAGTTTGGGCATGTTGATATTCATAAATAATTGAGTTTATCTCCATATTCATTTATTACAAAACACGCTTCCGAATATTCCGTCATTTTAGTTACACTGAATTACACTGCACCTGTTGAACTTAACCGAAAGCAGGTTCAACAAAATCTGCACTAACTTGCACCGGCTGCACGAAATTGTACTGCGCATGGCCCAACGAACAGTATAAGTGCAACTGCACTAAACTACACTATCCCAAACACACATCTGCACTAAACTGCTTAGTGCAAGCAGTGCAGTCCCAACGAAGAAAGCAATGGTTTGTTTTAGAAAGACATAATTTGACAAACAGTGCTATATAGGGTTTTCACAAAGGTTATTTCTTTAAAACTTGTTTATTATGTCATTTTTACACGTATCGTCATTATTTTCACTCTAGTGTTTGTGATTAAAATTATGCCACGACTTACAGAAACATCCTGTATAGAGAATCGGATGCACCAAAGCTTATTATGCCAGCTGAAACTCGTTGGAATAGTTTACTGTATTGCTTAGAATCTTATATTAAAGGCTGATCTGCGATGCTTACAATCCGTGAAGATAATCGAAATAAAATTGATTGTAATGTGCAAAGAAAAGTTGGCAATGTTATGTTAAAAATGTGGAAGATATGATTGCTCTCTTAAAGCCAATTTCTATAACACTTGATAACATGCAAAGCAATGAATGTTCTATCGCCCATTCTGTGTATTTGTGGAAAAAATTTAAAAAAGAACTGGGATGTTACACAAGACCAAACCATCAGAAAAAAAAATTATCGATAGGTATAACATGACATTAGGACCAGCTCATTTTCTTGCATAAATGCTTCATCCAAAGCAAATTAATAATACTGATTGCCACTTGCAACTCACTGAAGACGAGAAAAAAATCGGGTTGGATTATGCAAGTAGGATATGCATCATCGATGCATATCCTAACTGCATACGGATCGATGCTGTTAATTCCGACGTTTTTCCTATTATTGAGCAACTGCTTAATCGTCATCCGCGAGTGTAGAAAGAATTTTTCCTTTTTTTTTTTTGATTTGGTGCATTCGAAGCTTAGAAACAAATTCGGAACTGAAAAAACAATTAAACTGGCTTTTAAATTTAAAATGTTCAATCATTGTGCCTAGTTCACTTTGACCAAAAAAATATGTCAAGTTTCCAATCAATGTGTAATACATAAAACACCGACTAACGACAGCATGTTCTACGAATGTGATACCAATAATTATATCCATAATTATGATAATCAAATGGCGTGATTAGATTTTCTTGCTCGTACTTCATCTTTACTTCTTAAAGGCAGTTTCGACTATCTATACATAATAAAGCATCGCCCTTTGACAATGGCATGCTCCGTGGATATGATTACTGATAATTATATACAAAAATAACCTATATTGCATTACGTTTTCACATTTTCTTGCACTCACTTCTTAATTACTTACTCTTCTGGTACTCTTGTACACAATAATTCATTACCCATCCTTGAGAACGTATGCCACGAATTTGATTATTTAAGTAGACATTTTTAAGGAAATGTGTAATCCAAGATGGCCTAAGGCTGGGTTCTCACTTGTCGGATGTCTGACCCGACAAAATGTCGGATATTCTAGTGGCATAACATTCTTGCTGGTCTCATTCATCCGGCACCGATTCTCTGTTGGCTCCATATAAATGTCGGGATGTCCACTCCGAACTCCAACAAGTGGGAACACGGGCTAATATTAACCCAGCAGAGTACTATTCCGATAATTTTGTGTTTAGAACAGTGTCAATAACGCCGGAAGATTTAAAAGACAGTATTATTGAAAATAAAGCTGTATAGGAGTTGTGAGAACCGTTGGTGCTTTTCCAACAACAAATCACATTATTTCTTTTGCTTTCTGTGATTAGCTTAATTAGTTAAAAATACATACATTGAAATATATGGCTGGAAATATATGTTCGTAGGCTTTCACGACCGGCGTTATTAGCAATACACCTAAAACTAGAAACTTCCGTGTTATGCCATATATTTATTAACACATTGTTTGATTTTTCCAAAGTGGGCTTTTGAACTTATTTCTGAAGAAGGTTGTAACAAAAACGACAATGTTTTAAACACACGGTATAACTTAGAAGTTTCTAGTTTTATTTTTATTTCTAACCTGTTATATGTTTTTAATAACATCGACACGTTCTTAAAAAACTTTGTGGTTGAGTTGTTTTCCATTTGTCACCTCGTACTAATTGTCTGGGGCAAGATAGTAATTAGACGATTAAGATAGTAAATAAATTTTCTATTTCTACTAATTCTAGATCTATTTATGTAATGTTCATAGCACATTCCAAACCATTTCAGTTTGTACATACATAATGCAGCAACGACTGCAATTCTTCCTTCTCTTCGCCGATTTTAATGTGATAGTTCCGTTTGGAAAGGAGATTTGTAATTCCTATGAACCTTCTAATAGCTTTTAATTAGAGTTGATAACTGTTTTGTTAAAGCTTTCTTTTCACATACAGTTAAGCCTGATTGAAACTAATAGATTACTAACATGATATTTTGGATCTATCAGAAAATATAACTATTATTGTTAGTAACACAGTTTAGTTAGATTAATTATTATTTGTAATTGTGTCCTTTTTTGCATAGTACATTTTCGGAATTTCCCCATTTACAACTCTATACTATGTATAAGTATTTCATGAATACAAATTGTTGTAAATCGACGTTATTTTTCTCATTCTCCCAAATTTCGCACACATAGAGAAGTTGACTAAAATTAACATAAAATAACTACGTTAACTGCATTAACAATATACCATTCATCCCATTTATACCATTTTAATATTTGATTTTCTTTTTCAGTTTTATAAACGACCCAATTTACAAAGAAGCCCTAGAAAGTTCAGCAAATTACAATACACGATTATGCATCGAAAGGCGAATGCGTTTACCATTTTTAGACAGCCAAACTGGCGTAGCCCAAAATCACTCCTCTTTATTCATGAACAAGAGGCACCGAATGCCCGGTTTAGTTCAAGGACAAATTTACACCTACCCAAGGCAAAGATGGAGGAAAAGACGTCGTCAATACTTATTAATGAATGCGAGAGCTTTTGCAAGAAATGCTGATGCTATGCTTGATGGTGATGGTGATTTGCATGGCTTATCACAATCGGAAAACCCTGCTCTACAGGATACTGACAGTAAAGACAGTCAGTTATTAAAGGATGAGGTATCTAAGGTAAAGCAACTTTGGATTTCGTTTGATTTTGATTAACGGGTTTTGGGTGTTATAGGAATGGTATTATGATGAACAGGATATGATTGATATGGATGTTTATGATGAACCTGATCAAGATTCCGATTTAGATTATGAAGAACCTTATAGTAAAAGAACTAAGAGGAGGAAAGGTGCAGGAAGGGTAACTTCTTTCTTTTTTATTTTTAGCGTAAAATTTTCGTTTTACTGTTGTTTCGCTTTTATCTGGTTTTATTTAGGGTCGTGGTGGTGGTGGTGATTCACCAAGTACTCCAGGCCGTAGAAAAGGCGGAGGACGAGGTCGAAAGAAAGCCACTACCCACAATTTTGAGCCGACACCCGGAGACCCGGATAAACCATTCGCTTGTGAACGTAAGTGCTACTGCTCACCCTTAAATTATATCCTATTTGCCATAATCAATAATCCTTTTAGATCAACTATATCTTTTTTATACATATCTTTCAAAAACCACAAAAAAATCAAAGAAAATGAAACGCTCAGATGCTTATTTCTTTAAATAGGAAAAGCAATTGTGCGTTTATTTTCAAATTGTAAATTATCTTACCCAAAAAAAAAAATTAATAAAACAAAAATAATACTATATGCTTGAGCATGACATTGCTAATACCGTTCAAGACTGTTGGAGAATACTATATAGGTAGATTGTTTATTAGCAAACGACTGTTATCGCTTGATGCTTAGTCCAGCTTTTTCCTTCTTTTATTATTATTATTATTATTTAGGAGGGGACTCGAACCGAAAGGTGTTTAATAAAAAAAAAACTTGGTCCGCTGTTTTACTACTGTTTCGTTTTGTTACTACTTTTCCTCGTGACACATCTCTGTAACCTAGCTGTTTTCACTAATAATTTTAATATCTGTGTAATAAGAAAGTGTTTGTTTATTTATTAAGTATTTACCTCTGAGTTATTTTATTTATTTTCGTATTTTTTATTTAATTCAGGTAAAGTTGAAAAGTATCTAAGAGTTTTGATTTACTTTTTCTTTGTATATACATTACAAATTATTTTTAATGGTGGAGGATATATTAAAGTATTAAAGGGTATTGTAGATTGCAAAAGTAAAGTTATCAATTAAAGAAAACAGATTTTATTTACCTAAAGACATGACAATTTTTTGTCTTTGTAGGTTACCGTTATTGATTTGGAAAGTACATATAATTAACATGCCACAATTTTTGTTACGGTATTTACACAGAAATGTAAAGTACAATTTTTTTTACGCGTACAAATTAGATTTTTCTTTGAAATATAATAGATAAGTACAATAATTTATTGTTAACTTTATTTTATAATAAACTTAAAGCTATCATCTGCTTTGTTTTTTGTTTTATTTAGTTCCAAAATTCTATTGTACTTTTCCATATAAAGATACTTTATTGAGCATTAAATTTAGTAAATTTTTCAAATTATAAATACCAAACGTTAATTCACTACTAACAATAACTGTCTTAATTTATATGTCCTCGTTTTATAATGGGTCTTGTATTACTTGTTTATATACAGTTGGGGTAACTTTTAGTGCAATCACGTGAAAAATGCTTGAAAACCATGAATTAACTTGAAAACAAGTTCTGTACGTTCTTCATACTAGAAAATATTAAGATAATGTTACAAATCTTAAAATAAAGGCGAGAAGCTAAAGAAATAATAAGAATGAAAAAGAAGGAATATCATCAATTAATCAAATAGAGATCAATAAACACCCTACTTGAATGAAATATGAATAAAGTAATAGGGCAAGTATGACCCATCAGCTCCAAACCATCGACATTTTCACGTCTAAAAAAACAAAAACATCCTTATAGCTGTTAACTAAGCAATATGAAAAGTACCCCATAATTGCTGCCTTAGCTCTTTGGCAATATGCCCAATATAATTAAAAATTGATAAAAGTGTATGATGGTTTAGAGCATTGAAGGGTTCACTAGTTCTAAAGCCTAATCAAATAAAAGCTGTACTTTCAACTAACTAAATGTTACACATAATTTGTAAATTTTTTTAAGGCTTCTTACTAACTAAAATTTTAAATCGCTTACACATTTTATTATAACAATTTTTCACGATTATTATACTTACACATTTTTTCAAGTAAAGTTGATACTCTAAAAAGCCTACACTACATTGACTATTAGTTGACTGTGTAGGACAATCTGTACATTTTTTCTAAGCGGAGGTGGTTTAATGAAAAACTTATTATGTGAAGAAATATTGAAAATATTCTTCATGTTTTTAGACATATCACTTTCACTCAACATAAATCATCAAATTTTTAGAATAATACTAAAATAAATTTAATATATCCAATGAAACCATACATTATTGGGAAAACATATTATATATTATTATATTATAGAATACGTTTTCCCATATTTTAAGATATTCAAAATGTTTCAAAAGTGGCATAAATGATACAGATAACTGTACATCATTATAACAAAACATGCTTTAATCAAAATTTGATATCTCTACTGGGGTTCAATATTGTGCCTGTCACAAAAATAATAAAAAATTCCACTATAAAACAAGTTACTGTTGAGTAATAAATTCATTTTGTTCAGTAAATTAATCGTGTTTTCCAACTATTTTATATATGCTAGAGATATTCAAGAAATGTTAAGAGTAGAGAAATATAAGTAGATTTTAATAGTGAAAATCTAAAAAAGTACTTTATAGCTCATAATTATAGATAAAGTAATTAAATAAACTACCATAGTTATTCTAAGCAGTGCTACCGAATCTTTTACTAATTTTTATAAATGCAAGCAGTCTACCAACGTTTCTCAATTCATAGTGTTGTTTTTCAAAAGTACTGAAGCAAGTGAATCAATTATGGGCTGATGTTACCTTAAGCTTCTCCTACACTTCGACTTTTACATTTCCACTCAGCAAGCTTATTAGATTCTGTTAAGAGTAAGTCTATAACTTACAATTAGTTAACAAGTATTGAAAAAATTTGTATGAAGAGACATATTACATTAAATCTATGAATTTATGACCACTACTTCTGTAACAACATTGCAAATCATATTTTAAATTCGAAAAATAGAGTAACCCTACATAAAAATGTAGGATCCATCTCCTTATCAATGTTTCATACTGATGCTGTTCTTGTCGTTCAAACTATAGAAACAACATAATAATAATATATCAAGAAACACAAGATTGAATTAATCCAGTTAGGCGCAACAAAATTTTATTAAAAGAACTGTAATCTTTCTAACTGCACCATAGATGGCTGTCCCGGCTTTCAGCAGAGTATTCTATTGTTGAAGTGGTGACGCGTGGTCTCTTGGACCGACACACTCTTGTGTCGGACCGAATTTTTCACGTCACCACTGTAGGGTTAAAACATATTTTTATCATTTCTCAATCAAAGTGTATATCTTATGGCCTCAAGGATAATAATTTAAAAAATACAATGGCATTCAAACTCCAACATACGTATACCAGAGAGTGTCTAAAACATAGCAGTCTATCTGTTATGCATACTGTTCGTTAAAATGGATTCATAATTAATTAATCAATTCTTAAAAAAATTGAAGTATTATTTCTAAATTTTCCATGTTAGCACGTTGTTAAATTTTCTTCTTATTCGACAATGTTATGAAGAAAGATGGGAATTACCACCACTATCATTAGTTACAGTTGCTAGGAATACTGCTTATCTGCCATATGGAAAATTTTTAAGCTATTTTTAAAGTAATTTCTAACCCGTTTGAAATCATTTTGAATATACAAAAATTTTACTAGGTTTAAAATATCTCGAAAACACAAAGTTACAAATGATTAAAAAAAACGAGTATAATATTGTAAAAGAAATGGTAAACTATCAATATAACAAAAACTATAACAACTTTAAGTTTAGGCCACATGAATTTTATTTAGAATTTCGAGATGAACCGAAATATGGAATAATATACAGGTGTCCCATTAAGGAAAACGTAACTTTGTTTTATCATAATTTTTTGACTGACCTGTATACTTAATTTGTCTTTATTGTCATGGATTTAAAAAACACTAAAACTTTTGTATCTTAATATTTTTTGCTAGCTATCTTACTTAACATTTATAGGCGTTATACTTATTACCGCAACCTGTATATGCCAATTACACCTTGAATATCTGTAAAGATCAAATTTCGATTAAAATTAATTTTGTTAAAAACTCTATGGCATCATTTGTGCTTAATTTTGAAACAATCTGTTTATGTGTGATAACGACAAAAAATTTCAGACTTCTGTACTTAATTTATTTTAATTTATAATATATACTATATGTTAAAAACTCCTGATCAGCCGCTTTACAAGTGATACAAATAGTACCTAAGAATTAAATTTGGGGAACATATATAGTTCGTATTAGATCAAGTGTTGAACCACTTTCCCCTTTTAATATGACTTAGAGTTGTGAATTTAATTGAATAACGAAATATTTATCATTTTTTAGAACATAGTTTCCGACTTATTAATTGTTTAGCTTCTGGTTATGAGTTCTGAAAATTAAGTATGTTGAAGTCATTTCAAACATATAAACAACCGATGTTTTATTTCAAATAGTGGCTACACACCATAGCAAAGAAGATAAATTTTATAATTTTTACGTTTTTCTTTTAGTTTAGATTCCTAAGTATTATTCTTAACTAACGTTATAAAATCAGGAAATTCAAGAAATTTAAGAATTAATATGCTGTCTACTTATTCATAATCATGAAATCATTGATGACTATTAAAATGGTTCATCTTCTATATTTTAAAAGTTATTAGCTTTTAATTAGCTTTTGGGAAATCTTAGAAGACAAAATAGTTTCAAAATATTTGAAGTCATAATAGACATACATTTTGAGATTTTCATTACAAAGAAAAAAAGATTGTGGTGGTCCAGTTTAGTTACTTCTAGTTGCGATAGACAGTAACAGATTTAAAGAAATGGTTCCCCAAATTTCATTTCATCGTTTCCCATCAAAGAAAAAAGATAAACTTAATACAGAATTTTGTCATTATATTTCTAAGGAGATCAACCGTCATTTTTAACAAAGATACTGACTTTCTAAAGTTTATCTGTGTTTTTCTATTCATCTTGTACATATAAACCATTCCTATGTGTATTAAATATGAATGTTAAAGTAATTTATTTAAATTTCAGAGTCGCTATCACAAAAATAAGTCTGCGTTAGATGCGTCAAGACTGAATTAAGTAATGAAATAATTTAAACACGACGGTTTACAAGTTTTGAGAAATGTTCTAGACGCACCTAACGCATTTAACAACAAATTAACACTCCGATTTTTAAAAGATTATTGTGGCTATATTAGAAAATAAAGGACAATACTCCAAGCACTCATTTATGTGTACTTATAAATATACTTATTTAATCTTGTAAATAGTAATTTTATTAGTATATTTTTTTTGTGTTAATCTCCTGGGTTGACGCCTTCGGTTATGGTAAGTTTGTGTTAATAGTACATGTATTTTATTTACAAATTTATTTTAAGAATGTTTAGTTTGTTTATGTATTAATAGAGGTTACAGAAGTTTGTGTGATAATAAAAAATAATAATATTGGTAATATAGAGCCGGGAGTAATAAAATAGAGTTTAAGAAAAGAACATCAAAACTATTTGTAGTGAGCGTTTCGGTTCGGGTTCGTATTGGTGCTTTGCTGTTCTATAAGTACTAACAGAAGTAGTCGATGTTACTAACACTAAACGGCCGCAAATTTCGCTTATGTAATTGACGAAAACTTACGAACCGCAGACCTGCTATCGTGTACCTAATTGTGCTAAAAAAATCGATAATAATAACAATTCAAAATTTTGTCTCGTTTCGCTTCCGAGTTTTTTTTTTAATTTGTTTTTGTTTATATATATATTATTATTTTCGCAAGAAAACAGAACAAGAGTCGGTTCCAGTCCCTGAATCTCTGTCTGCTAAGCGATTTTTTATTTTTGAGCGTGTACACTAAATTTTACTTTTCGAACAAAACAGCGATATGAAACGACAACACCAATCAAAACAATCGGATTTTTTTTTTCTGGAAAATTTCAGTTTGCGGAGCGCGGTACAAGACGCGTCCCGGGCTGACTTACCACTACGGACATTCGCACAAAGAAGGCGCTAGTGATGAAAATTCTCGCGAAAGCAATGCCCCCACGAGAGTGGCCTCTCCGCTAGGATCGGGGGGTTTTACCACTGGCGTGGTGGCCGGCCCAACGCCTAGCGGTGGTGGCCTAATTCAGAATAACAACCTGATGGGGGACCCGATGACCCTAGCACCCTCAGCCGGTCAGGGTCCACCGATCCCAGGACACGTCTATCAAGATAGTTACGTTTCTTTCTTAGGCCATCCAGCCGGTACTGCCTTATTTCTTTTTTATTCTTTTCTTTATTTTTTATGAGTGTTACTGTTTGAGCATGTGTAGTTTTTTTGGAATGATGTGCCATTGTACCTTACCCAACTACCACCCACCTAATTCGTATGTAGCTCGTTTCCGTTATTATTTAAGTAGAAAAAAACCAACCACTAAAACCACTTACAGCGGTACGATTTACTTAACTACGTTGATTACTTTAGTTTATTTTGCACTTTTAGATGCTGATACAACTTACTCAATAATCGCTGTATTAACTTGCAGACAAAATACCCCAATTTCCCTTCATTATAATTTTATTTTATCAAATTTTCCATCCTTTCCATGATTTTTAATTTAATTTTTTTTATTTGTCGTAATTCTTATAATACCTTTTTTATTCTTATAGGTTTTAAGTAGTTAATAAAAAAAGTTTCAATATTTTATGTTATGTGAGTATATGATTATGCACAAGTTTCTTGACTTCGGTTTCCCCCCTTTTTAAATATTGTTATTATTCGTGTTTGACATCTTTTTCTTATTTATTTCCAATACATCATGCAATATGGTACTGATTTCCATTATTACTCGTTATCTTACCATTTTTTTTGGGTTTACATTTTTTATGTGCACAGTCTGCTTTTATCATTCAAAATTGATAATTCTTTTAGATCTGTTTATAATCAGCACTTTATTGATAAGATTTCATTTCTTTTCCTTAAATTCCCACAAATTAAATTAACAAAGTATGGAAATCAATAAATAATTTCTGTCTTATCATTTAGGTGCTGAAACCCCCCCCTCAAAACAATAATTAAAAAATCAATGTCTTAAAAAAATACGCATTACATTTATTTGCGACATTCGAGTGTGTTTGTGAGGAAGCATGTATGTCCTTTTATTCATTCGTTTTTTTTTCTCGTTTTTCTTTTAATTTTAAGAAAGATATTTTATTTCACCACGATTAATAATAAATAACGATCTATAGGTACACCGGGTAGACGTGGTCGTCAGCCAAATAATCCCCCGCCTCCAGCGACACCTCCTCAACCCCAAGCTCCACCGACACTTCCACCAAATCTGCCAACACAACCGCCACCAATCGTGGATGATCCTCCAATGCCGGTTTTAATTCCTGAAAAAGTCATCGAACCGCCTCCATCCAGTTCGGTTGAACCACCACGTGAAGGAAAAGCAGCGCCCAGTCCTTATTGCGATTTTTGTTTGGGAGATTCGAGGGAGAATAAGAAAACAGGTGGTTCCGAAGAATTGGTGTCGTGTTCTGATTGCGGCCGATCAGGTAAGGAAAGTACTAAGGTCGAAGAGAAACCGGTTAGCAAAAAAGGTCGTAAAAAGAAAATTGTTTAGTCGGGACTAAGCTCTAGCTAAAAATGCCGATGATTTTTTTAGGGTCGTAGGTAATTAATTAAATAATAATCTATTAATGTACATGGTATACCGCTTGTGTTCCTATGTTGCGTCTCGCGCGATGGTCAGGCGTTTCCGTTGCTGCAATTATTGGTGGTTATTAGAACGCTTTATTTTGTTATTTTTTTGTTTAGATCAGATGCACTGGTTCCAGATTGGGTTTGTTTTTAAACACTTTATCCACTGTTTATGTACAAAACATTTTTTTATATTTACTTTTATTATTACAAGTAATATTGTATATGTTTATCGAAATATTTGATTTTGTGGAATATAATTCCATTTAATGACACTATGATTCAGATTTATTTAAGAAAAAAATAGTTATTTTTTGGAATTTAAATGAAAATATATTGAGAAAGTGTTTCTTCTATACTTGAAGTTTAGTGGCTACATTAATTAAATGCATTAAACAGCGTTGTGAAACCAAAAAGAATGGTTTGATATCTTTAAAGATTCACAATGGAAAAAATTTGAACATACCACTGCAAGAATTGAACATTATTTAGCCGTTTGAGTCCCAGAGAGTATTGAAAAAGCACTGTCGAACAGGGATTTAAACGGTGCAATAGCGCTTTTTCTAAATGAGTACGAAATGTGCTTTTGAGCGCGAAAGGTGGGTTTTCTCGACATAAAATCTGAACAGCGCGATCGCGCTGCTTTGGACTCAAACGGTTAATCCTGTGTAGTATATTTTGTAATCAGTTCAAAAGTATTATATCGACAAAGTAATTATATAATGCTAAGGAATGATCACCATGTTTGGGTTGGATTTATATGAATTAATTAATTCGAATTTCTGGGCTACAAAAGGCTGAGATGCAAACATAAAATAGATATTTTATAAACTGGTTAAAGGTAATTTGGAAAATATATTTATACAAAAATTGATGCAACAAATTTAACATTTTTATAATCTTTACTAAGTTTTTAGTGTCTTACCTTTCAAGTTTTGAAGGAACTCCTTATCGAGCTTTATATTCTATTCTTATAGGAAGCTATTATTTCAATATTAAATTCGTTAAAGGTATCAACTGCGTGCGGTTTGCGACTAATGTTCCGTTCTGGGAGTTATGACCAATAGAACAAATGCCGTCACTTTAGTTAAATTGGCATTAAACGGTTCGCCACCGGTAAACAGGACAATGCAGCTTAAATTGTCATTGCAAAACCAGGCCTTATATAAACGGTTTTCAAGATAATGGAACATTATTATTCTCTGATTGGCAAACGTATTATATCAGTATTGGATCAACTTAACATGACGTTGATTGGGCTTTTTAAATTCAGGTATAAAAAAGTAGTGTATGGTTTGATATACAAAAGTGCAACTAATGTGAAACGGTAGGACACATCAGTTTTACCGAAGGAATGCGCTATTAGTAATACCTCAAAAAGAGTGAATTTTCATATACAAAGCGTATACATTGTCTCAATAAAGTCTCTGTACACATGTTTGAAGATATGTTGTTAAAACTGCCCTCAATAGGCGTAATTTTAAGTAGATTCAAATACTATGACGCGGAAAAGAAAGATCGTTTATAAAGTACTACACTTAAAAAAGGTTAAGGTAAGCAAATACTTTATTGACGACTTGTATGAAATGCTGAAAAACCATTCTTTGAAATTGAGTTACTATTAGATTATGAGTTTCAACTTTGTTGCTTAACAGCTAGAGTAGCTATGAGCAGCATAAAGTGTAATAAGAATTACAGTTGATGATACTGTATTACTAATAAAGTTTAAACGTGACACTAAATGTTAACATGACGAAAAGATAAGATGTGTTTGCCAAACAGAAAGTGTATATAAATATACTTATATATTTACTGCTAAAAGGTTCAAGCTAAGTTTTTGTTTTTGATTTTCGCCTACCAATAATCGACCGGTTCGGCCACTAAAAAATGTTATCTAAATAAACACTCTCTTTTTCAAGCTGTGTTTAGGTTGTCAAGGTTGTAATAACTCTACCAAATGCCACCTGATACAATTACTTTCCATCCACATTAAAGATAAAATTTTCATCAGTGATATTCAAGTAACTGTATTATTATAAATCATGTATTTCACCTAACGTTTATTTCACCACAGGTGTTAATTTAACACTGTTTGCTTCAATTTCCATATAAAATTTATAAATAATTATAAGCAGCATCTCACTTGAAAACATCATTTTTTATATCATTCTTGATTAATATTTCAAATTTCACATTTTGCTGATAACTTATACTATCCTGTCAGGTTCTTGCACTGAGACATTATATTGTAGCCAAAGCCACTTGCTGACAAAGTGTTGCAATTAAAATCAGATAAAGTTTTGCAACCTAGGTATACAAATTCCTAACCGTTTATGTATAAAATAAATCTGAATCATAGCTTTTCTTACTATTTAAAATTGTTAAACTATATTATTTCGGTTTTATTTTATATTTTTCAAATTATACAGGGTGATCATTTAATTCTTCAATATGTGCTACATTGAAACCAAGATTAGTTGTAATATCACTAGAAACATAGCGTTAAATTAATTTTTCTGATGTAATGGATTTTTTCTCTACGAAATTTGTATAAACAATATAAATCATTGCGAACAAGCCAGTTTATAAAACAATTGTTTATTATTAAGTTTTGGAGATGCACAGGGTAGTTAATATAAGATATAGATAAGATATAAAATAATTTATAACTATAGGAGAATTATTACTGATTTGCGATTTGTTTTCAATTTTTCGGTTTTAGTGGGTGTCATTTTTTGAATTAAAACAATTAAATGATCACTATGTATAAAAATTTTTGTTGGCAAAAAAACCAGTGTAATCTATTATTTTCACTCACTAAATAAGATTTTGCAGCATAAAATGTTTTAAATTTTGTCTTTAATTCTCCTTAAAAGTATACATTTTCTTGTTTTGAATAAAAAAATTAAGATACAAAATTAATGTAATATTAGTTCTTATTGAGAAAGTTCAAATTTGGACTCTATCACATGGGGCTAATACTATATTATTTTCTAGAGATGGAATTCAACAAAGTATGTAGCGATTTGATAAACGATTTAAGCCAAAAGTTATATTAAAACAAAAAAGAGAAGTGGACCAAGAGAAATCATCCCCAAGGCGGCGTCACTCCGTCACCACGACTCACATTATATTGTTGTCTTTTTAATGTTTTCGTTTCCGTACTTATCGTATAACTCAAAAGAGCTAGAAAAGTAAAAAAAAAAAAACAATGTACTGGGTCGCGGTAAAAAATACCTAGTTGCACTTCAAACAAGTTTTATTACTTTACGTAATGCACACAATTTTTATTATTTTATTGGCAGATAATATGTTTTTTTTTCCATAACAAAGAAACATTTTACCTTTTTTTAGGGAACGAAATGGTTATTGGTTTATTATACAGGGTTAACAAATTATATTTATATCCATGACGCCTTGATGTGGTGTGATAAAAAGAACTTAGCTAAACTAAAAAATGTGACTTTCGGAATTTATAAATAAAAAGAAAAAATTTACCCTAGTATTTTTGCGAATAATAAAATTGTTGTTGTGGGCGTCATCGTTCGAGTATGATTTGTTTTACTTTGTTCGTGTTCATGGCTGTGGGTATTTCGTAAAAATATAAAAAAAAGAATAATAGGTTAACAATCTGTTACATAATATTATTAATATATGAAATAGCATTAGTGTTTCTTGTTATTACAACTAATCGTTCACTTTTTATGGTTTCAAATTGCACATAAATTACATTCTTATTATTAACATGTAAATACAACCCTTGCAAATCCATTTTTTTAACGTAATAACTACGATTAATGTATCATTTCGCAATTTAAACTGTTTTATAATACTGTTTCAATCAAAGGCTTTTATTATTATTGATTAGTTAATTAATAATACTTGTTTTGAGCAAATTTAAAAAATTCGAACATTTAGGGATGTAATCAATAAATTTTGGTAAAATTAATAATATTTACACATATCTGGAAATATAACTTACCAAATATAATGAAAGTTATTTAGATGTTGATTAAAACGTCTAAGGCTAGTGTTTATTTGAGATGAAAATTATCTGTAACAAATGTATTTTCGGCAGTTAAGAGTCAATTTCGGCTATAATCAATTTCTTGAGTAATTAATAAGGTTGGTTTTTGAAGAAATAGTAATATTATTTTGGTCAAAGGCAAATAGTTAATTTAGGAATAAGGCGTTTTGTTGTGCTTAAACTTTCGCTACCAACACAATGAATTTGTGTTAATACAAAGCTTAATACAAAGAATGTTGTAAGACGTCTATATTGTAAGGCACCAAAGGGTGTATGTTTTTAAAAGGTATGATTACACAAAATACAAAATTATCAACAGTTTGTGAGCTCACCTGTGAGCAAAGATCGCATAATAAAATTATCTATAGTATCAATAGGGCATGACATGGTTACTTCAGGTACAAATAAGTTGTTTGCAAGTTTTGAAAGTTGAAATCAACATGCATTAATATAATTGGCATAATAATACTATCAAAGACAGTCTTTTCTTTTCTTCATTCAGAACAGAAATTACAATTTTTGTCATCAAAGCTTGTCAACCCTGAAATGTACACATCAAACTTAATGGTTGATATAAATTAATTAATAATATTCATTGCATGCTTTTAACATTACCAAATATTTACGTTTCATATGAGCATTTTTACGCTTATTCACCATTAACATTTTTGAGTTTAATTTTTAAATTTACATCCCTTAACACTAGTATTTGACGATACAACAACGTTCTGTTCTTTTGATAACCGAATTCTCGTTCAATAGAATTTTCTTTTTCTTCTTATCTTATAATAAAGCCGAATCACAAAACAATCTTTAAGAATTTAAACCTAGGAATGCATTTCTAGAGTTTCAAACATTTAAAGAGTATAAACACTAATTTTATGATGTTGGGTGTCAATGTTACAAATGTCAGTTGATAAAAAGTGAAGAAAATTACTAATTTTGCAGTACTGAATCATTAAAAACTGCTTTGCAGTAGTACTCAAACTTTAGGAAAGTGTTTTGGAATTCGTTACTACTTAAGAAATAACGGAAGGAAAATTGGGTTGGTTCGCATTTTATGTTTTTAAAATGTTGTTTAAATTTTGGCCATACATTTACTTGACCCTTACATAAATAGATAAAGTACAGGATGCAATATCAGTAGCGGTTATTTTGAATTAGCTAGCTTATCAGCTTATAATTATAATTCCAAATGTTCTAAACAAAACAAGTTTAACAAAATTTCATAATTTAAAACAATTTATATTGGATTTAGAATTTATTTTGGATTAAAAACACGTACAAAATTGTCAACTCTGTTGGAACGGATTGTGAGTTTAAAGATTGTTTAAGGACTTTATAAGAATACCAGGATAAATGTTAGTGATTGCGGATACGTCCGACGACCTTTTAACAATCAAGGATTTGTCAAGTATTCAGTTTGAACAGTATTCTTCAACTGCGCATGTACCTGACCGTCAACTGACAGTCATAATTGTAGCTAGAACAATCCTTATATGTCAGCCATAATGGCTTAGTTTCCTGAAATGAGCTGTAGCTTTGTTATGAATTTTACGTACACAGTACATGGTGGAAGGATTCTATTGCTACGGAACCATCGATCGCCTTACTTTACTCTATATGCGACGTCAGGCTAATCTTGCATAGTTTTCCAGATTTGATTACAAAATACCTGACGCTTTAAAAGCTGTTATAGACAAATTATTATCATTGATTTAAACGTACTTTAATTTGAAATCAATTTTAAATTTGATTTAAAAGCTGCCGAAACGAAAAAAACAAGCAGAATTATTTACAAATATTCGGAATGTTTCTATCTGAGTCATAACAAAAGCTATAATGTAGGAGTGTCCAGAAAGAGCAAAAGAAGTGACTGAAGAAGACTGTTTAAATGTGGAATTTAAATTGCTAGCCATACGATATGATGTTGAAACATTTAAAATGGAGTTGAACTTTTTCACAGTGGAGTTGCTCAATGTAATAGTTGCTATATTCAAAAACTCTTAATATGGTAAAGATTCTTGATCAGATTTTTCTAGTCTTACTAAATACGAATAATACAAGAATGAACGAAAAGTTAATAATTGGTAATGAGCAAAGACATTTTAATAAAGGATTGCCAAAAATCGTATGCGATTACATTAATAGATACTACATCATATTGAAACGTACATGACTCTTTAAAGTATTAGCCAAGTAGTTGTAATCAAATACGTTTCACGAAGCTGTTTCAAAAATTTATAAACTTGGCCTGTGATGAACAAAGTTATACTTCAATGAGATTGAACAACAGCACATATGGTACGCTAAACAATAATTGTTTAAAAGATCTATTTCTTCTACAAGTACAACAAATTTCAATGATTACCGCTATTGACTCCTCGATTATAATATTTAATAATAATAATAATAATACTTTTTTAAGAAAGAGTGCTACATATTTGGTCATGTTTGAGTCTTGACAAAACCCTGTCAAGGAACTGAAGCATGAGATGATGCATCATAAATTTTAGTGCTACTCTTTTTGTCTTGTGGGATTTTCTAAAAATAAATGTATATGAATAGCACCTGTACAAAAAACTTAACTACATGATCAATCAAGACACTACGTTATTATGGGGAATTTCTTAAACTGGATATTGGTTTTAGACCTGAAAGGTATGATTTTCGAGTATAAAGTTAGCATGTAATGTGCCACAGGATTTAGTGCTATTTAAGAAATGATATCATGTTTATTGATCATCAAATATCTCAATTATCAAGGTGTAAAGAATATTCGTCCGGAAATAAGAAGCGAATAAAATGAGACCATGTTAACCGTAGATTCTGCAAGATGACAGTATTCTGAAAAAGAGTAATATACAATGGCAGTAGAGATATAACAAATGTCTGCCAAGAACATAAATGACAGAGTGAAACATATACCTGCTCCCACTTTATTCTGCATTCACCTAGTAATATCGTATGTGTAACACAATTTAAATTTTTCGACTACAAAAGTAAGCAAACAGAACTTTTTACAATTAAAATATTCAAGTTAGCTATAAGGAGAAGTGTAAATACGAAAGTTATATTGGCTTACTATGAATTTGCAACGACTTGTCTGTCGGTTTCGCAAAGATGTTGTTTGTGGGGGACCCAAATTAGGCAATTGTCTACTATTAGAAGCAAGTAAGCTTTGAGAAAATGTTGCAAGCGATTACATTTTTCTTATCTTGAATCATGGGCATTCTCCATAGCGAAGACTATAAATTGTTCCAATAGAAATTCGAAGTTCACGTTGTTGATTTCTATGTATATGCAAGTATTTTAAAATGATTAAATAAAATAAGAAAGCTGGGATTACATATTGAAATTTAGTTACATTCCTTAAAATGTCATTTCTTTTCTGACATTCTAGAAATGATTTCAAAATAACCGGTATTTACTTAGTATTTTCTTTTTGTAAAGAGCATTCAAAACCCGAATTACCTTCATAACCAGTTAAACAACCAAAAAGCCCTAATTGGTATACTTCTTATTGTTCTAAAAAACAACTTTTAAATATTATTTAAAAATGAGATTGTTAAGAAAGAATCTCAATATAAGTAATTTTATCTCAAATCAACACTAAGCCTACTTACCTAATAAATAAATAAATTAAATTGTGAAATGAACATTATAATAATTAATAAACACTTTAAGATAACACCTATAATTAGCTCAAATAATAGCATAATTAAACATAGAATTTATTCGATCATAATCAATTAATAACAAGACCAACAAACAAATTTTTCGAGAACCAACATTTTGTTTTTGACTGAACTTTTCGATTATGTTTCTTTTTGTGCTTATAACAGTGGCTATTATTGTGTAAATCAAACCTGCAATAAAATACAAAGTTTGAGACATTTATGAATGTATTTTTCAAAATTTGGATTTGTAAACGCGATTTAATCACCGGTAATTGTAGCAATTGGTTTCCTTCTTTACATTTAATTTTTTTTTGCATAAGTCACTTGTGTACACGTTTTGCTTTTTTTGGATGCAGGTGGTCCAGAAAAATGTCCTTAATTTGATAGAGTTTTGTTTTGGATGTTGGTCTGGGTTTGTCTATATGTCATTCAATTCTAAAAAAACCATACCGGAGCTGTTCTATAGAATCGGAAGTAGTGTAAATATTAAAAAAAATTGAAAACAAGTAAATATAAATAGATTATGTCGTGCAATTTACTAATAATTACTAGGAGGCGTTTAAAGAAATTTTTTATAACATAAAAAAGACAAGGACCAATACTGGACATTGTGTGTGGTATTTTTGTATCGGGTGACTTTTCGTTTCGTTGATTTTCTTTTATTAAATAATTAAAAGTGAAATTTTGCGGAACTGCCAAAACTATGGTACAAAGTTGAAATAAAATTATTACGACATAGGGACTAAAAAAATAATAATTTAAATTTGAGTTAAATTCAAATTTGGCTGTTCACGGGAATGTTGAAAAATGTCCAGTATTCAATTTTCAGTTCCTTAGACGTTCGTCATAATAGCTAATATATTATATGAAGAAATATCAAACTAGTTCATATACTTATTATTGTTTTATTGGATGTTTTTTTAAATATTTTTTATGTACTAACAACAACGACAATGTTGCTTGCCGTTGTCGTTAATGCGATTGTTTCTGAATCTTGCCAGATAGACTGGATAACCAAAAAATATATAAATAATATTCATTAAGGGGTTAGGTTAGTTTTACATTGTATATTGGAATGTCTTCCAAATTTTATGGGCATTTTACATATTTATTTAGATCTGAATTCTGTTTTTAGTTTTTATTCGAATTGAATTAATTAAAGAAAAAATAGTAAGAAATGAAAACAATCTTAGCTATTTCTAATTATACTTGCTGAATTGTATTTATATGTGTTCAAAGCTTCTTTTCGTATGTCTTATTAGTTTTTGAATGATTTTTTCATTCATTCAACTGACCGCTTAAAATGAAAAAACAAAAACACGAAAAGATCATTCAAACACACACGCATTATTAGTCCTAATGATAATGTATGGCTAAGTTGTTGTAAGAACAGTTATTTTCCAAGCATATTCGTAAAAACTGTATTAAAACGATGATAGTGCAATAAAACGATGCCAATATAAAATATGTCTTTTTTGACTTTTTAAGTGCTGAGGATTAGTGCACTTCAATTTATGTACATTTTTCTGAGCGCCATTTCAAACTATTTTGATGCATTGATACCTGTTTATTATTTTTATGGTATTTTGATGCATTAAAATTTTTTAGAAAAATTACGTAACTTGGAAAGTCACTGTTCTTCGGCACTTGCTATTTTTAAAACCTTTTCACTACCCTACTTTTCCTTACAAAGAAAATATAAATAAAAGGTAGGTATAACACAAAATAAAGGATGTTTCAAATTTAGTGTGTTAAATAAAAATCACATATTTCAAAATAAGTTTAGGCCAGGTCATTGAAGAATTAATTTGTTTCTAATTGGCCTTTACTTTTAAGATATCTTCAAAAATCTAAATTTAAATATGTTATTATGTTAAAAAACGATTTTTATGAAATTCAAAATAATACAATTCATACATGTTATAATGCAAAAAGGATCGGTATCCTCAAAGAATAAATTTTTCCTTAGTTTTTTTTTTGATTTTTGACGTTTAAAATAAAAAGAAGTCATAGAAATTTGATGATCTAATTATTCTAAAAGTATAACGAACGCAAGAAAGAGAAAACAAAGTAGTGTAACTCTATCTCCGGCAACGCTAAACTGATAAAACCTCAACTTGATCGTATTAAGGTATTGTTGGCTCATAGTCACCACAAAATCACTTTCATGATTTCAGTTTAAAATCATATCATTTTTGTTCATATGTTACTATTATCTTGTTTTATCAGAGTTGGAAAATGGAAATATTCTTCTTACATAAGCAAATCTACGATTTGAAGAAATGGAAATATTATTTCCAACATTTCCATGACTATTGACGATGATGACTATTTGAATTTCGACTTTGCCCTAGCAAATTAAAAAGTTTACAATGAAAAACAACAGCTAAAAGAAAAGTCTATAGAACTGAACAAACCCCTTTATATCTTGCTTCGTCAATATGATGAAGAAGATAAGAGTACGCTTAGAAGACATTCTGAGATTGCTAACAGAAAAAGGAACAAAGTAATTGGCAAAATTATACAAGATGTGTCGTTGAATTTGGGCTATAGAATGAGCAAGGATAAAGACACTATGAAGTGCTACGCAGACGATGCAACAATCTAAGCAGAAACGGAAGATAATCTACAAAGACAGCTTTTTAAATTCTATCAAGTAAGTCAACAATTGAACATGAGACTAAATCTATCGGAAAAACAAAATATTTACATTACAATTGCCAAAGAACCAATTAGATGCACACTTGTGGTAGAAGACAAACCCATAGACAGAACAAGACTGTCTGTCAAATATCTTGAACTGGATATCTCCAGAAGTCATAACCCAGCAAAAGACTTAAGAAATCAGATTAATAAAACGACATCTCAATCAGGATCCATAATAGAGATCATTTGGTCAAATTAATACATACAAATGGATAGCAAGATAAGAATTTATAAAACTTGCATAAGACCGGTTATGGCATACAAAATAGAGACGCGCCGATACGAGCAATACTAAGAGTTGAGAAACTGAAAGCGTTGCAAACTATACTGGGTAAGACTAGAAGAAACATAGACAAGAAATATAGACATCATGGAGCGATGTCTTCACATCTAGTATTGTGGTAAGATAGGGAAGACAAACAAAAAGGGGATATTACGATCATATGGATAGGATGAGTAAAAGCAGATTACCGCATATAATATTAGAGGGAAGACCCGCACTTGAACACCAGGAAGACCACCTAAAAGGTGGACGAATAGTTGGAAGTCTGCATTATAAGATACACTTCAGTAACAAATTCATAATTCAACAGATCTAATACAAGTGGAAGAAGACGACAATAACAAAAAGAACAATGAAGAGAATAACATAATTGAAAAATCTCGTGAATTTTTGGTAGAAAGTTACAAAATTTACAAAAACAAAAAAGTACGCATACCAATCAAACCTCAGTTCCAACACTTTCAACCAACGCAAAATTAACATTCTTTAAGATCATTGTTTTCGACAATATATTTCAGGGCGCTTAAATTTGAGAACCACTGCAAGAACCACTTGCTGTTCCATTGAAGTTGTAAAGGTGGCATTGAGGATGTTGAAATAGATCCAAAAATAATTATAATAAAGAAATAATAGAATTTGTAACTGTCCACAAATTCCTACATCGATAACATAAAGAGGTCGTTCAAATTTCAGCAAGGCTGAGCTAATAAAAGTATCCATAAAATTAAATACAGACAAAAACGA